TCCAAATAAAAGCAAATTAATTATCCAATCAGGAAGCACAATTACGGGCTGACTATCCCCAACTTTACAAGAAAGTTCACTTTTTTGCAAAGGGGAAAGGCCACGCATTTTCTTTCTTTTTTTTTAGTTCTTCTGAGCCAAAGGCTCAAAGAGCTAATGCTATGGCCATTTGTGCGGTGTGCACATATATATAATATGGGCCATAACTCAAGAACCCCTTGCCCAATTATTGTCAAATTTGTCACGGTATCCTTGGCCCAAGGGCTCCCTTTTATACTAAAACTAGGGTTGTGACCCTTAAACAAGGGGAGATAATTAGGAAAATAGAAACAAAAGTACTGGTTGCTAAAAAATTATCTTCTCAAGAACCACTGGACAGATTATCACCAAACTTACACAAAAGGGTGAGGATATGTTGTAGATTAAAATTTGCATGGGGATTTACCCTGGGGCAAAGGGCATGGTCTCAAGGTCACTTCAAAGTTGACCAAAAATTACATTTCATTAAAATGTTGATATTTTGCTTACTATAAGGACTAGGATCATCAAATCTTGTCAGTTGATGCATGTAAGGACCTCATATCATGTTGCCTCAAAAGTAGGTCATGGTGACCTACTTTTTAAAATCTGCAGCCATTCTTTTTCAAAATGTTTTAGAGGCATATTTTGAACAATTTAAGGCCATGATCATCAAACTTTGTCAGTTGATGTATCTTTGTTCCTTGAAGAACGTCAACTAAAAAGTAGGTCACCTTGACCTACTTTTTGAACTTGATGGCTAATCTTTTTCAAAACAATTAAGGTCATTAATTCGGATACCGAGAAGTTTAGAATCATTGAATCTTGTAAGATGATGCATCTTGGGACCATAAAACATATTTATTAAAAAGTAGGTCACAGTGACCTACTTTTTGAATTTTGCAGGCATTTGATTTCAAAGCGTTTTAGAAGCATAATTTGGACATTTTAAGGCCTATGATCAGAAAACTTTGTAAGTTGATGCATCTTGGGTCCTCAAAAAAGGTCAACTGAAAAGTAGGTCACCGTGACCTACTTTTTAATTTATATGACTATAATTAAATATTTCAGGTACTAATTGTCTTAGAATCATCAAACTTTGTCAATTGATGCATCTTGGGTCTTCGGAATAGATTGATGGAAAAATAGGTCACCGTGACCTACTTTTGAAAATTTATGGCTTTAATTAAATATTTCAGGTACTAATTGGCTTAGAATCATCAAACTTTGTCAGTTGATGCATCTTGGGTCTTTGGAGAAAGTCGACTAAAAAGTAGGTCACCGTGACCTACTTTTGAAAATTTATGGCTTTAATTAAATATTTTGGGTACTAATTGGCTTAGAATCATCAAACTTTGTCAGTTGATGCATCTTGGGTCCTCAGAGTACAACAACTGAAAAGTACGTCACAGTGACCTACTTTTGAAAATTTATGGCTTTAATTAAATATTTTGGGTACTTATTGGCTTAGAATCATCAAAATTTGTCAGTTGATGCATCTTGGGTCCTTGGAGTACGACAACTGAAAGTAGGTCACCGTGACCTACTTCTGAAATTTTATGGTTGTATTTAATATTTGGCTTAGAATCGTCAAAATTTGTTAGTTGATGCATCTTCGGTCCTCGAAGTAGGTTGACTGAAAAGTAGGTCACTGTGACCTACTTTTGAAAATTTATGGCTTTAATTAAATATTTCAGGTACTTATTGGCTTAGAATTAGTTTGTCAACGAGTACCTGGTTAACCGATTAATCGTTGAACAATGCAAGTATCAGTTAGTAAAACTGCTATTCGGTTATTCGGATAAAAATACTTTTTACATAGTAAATACATAGAAAATAAATGTTATTATATTGTTTATAAATGTATAATAACACATTTACCTAAAATAATTTACTGTTAGACTTGATCTATTGGTTCACAAATAAGATTGATTTGTTTTGGTTAGTTTTCACAGTTTATATAATTGATAGCTTTGATTGCTGGGGGTATAAAAAAATTGAAGACCTGAGTTATAATTACCTCATTTACACCTGTGCTAGTCAAAGGAGCCAAATTTAATAAGATACCGCCGCAGACATATAAAGCTTGGAAGTATTTTTAAAAGAACAGCTGATTCAAGATTTGTAAAATGTAAATTATGTGAATCGGAGATATTGTATACGAGTGGGACTAAAAATATTTTAAATCACCTAAGATTAAAAATTATTTGGAAATCAGCAATTTACTGGATACTCTACAAATGAACCAGTAATTACGGGTATTTTAATTCTCCTTGATCTTGACATATATCAGGGGCTGATAAGGAAAACGTAACGAGAGCCATTGTGAAAATGGTGATTGACGACTATATATCTATCTTCTTCGTGTGTCGATAAAATTATTTTCTTAAATAAAAACAAACTGTCCATTTCAACTGACATATAAAATCAAAGTTCTTTGAAGATATTGTGTATGTGTTTGAGTTTGTAATTTTAAATATAGTTCATACACAGTACATTTGTTTTATTTCTACCGATAGGTAAAGGATGAGAAAAATAATAGATATCGTAACTGTAGCGAAAAAAAATCATTCGAGTAACTGGGTACTAGATCGGAAAAGTAACCGGTTACTAAAAATCAGTTGATTTGACAACACTACTTAGAATCATCAAACTTTGTCAGTTGATGCATCTTGGGTCCTTGGAGTACAACAACTGAAAAGTAGGTCACTTTGACTTACTTATAAAATGGTTATAATTTAAAAAAAATATTTTAGAAATTAATTGGCTTAGAATCATCAAACTTAGTTGATGGGTCCTCAGAGAATGACAAGTGACAAGTAGGTCACCAACTCTCAGGTACTAATTGGCTTAGAATCATCTTGGGTTCTCAGAGTGTGAATTGAAATTTCAAGGGTTTATTTAAATATACAGGATACTTAGAGGCTTCAAATAGAAGTGATAGGTTGTACAGTTTATCAGAAGAGCGATTCAAGGCCCTTGGGCCTCTTGTTTTTTTTTTGGATGAGAGCAGGGTGCATGTCTTTGTGGTTAGTTAAAGGGTAACCATGATTTCATTTAACGGTGTATGCTAATCACCTGCATGTCTTATTACATATTATTGTATGTCGAATAAATCATAGTTATTTTGCCCAAACCTAAACTGTGTTGACTTGGTTTATAGCAGTGGGTCAGCTGCAATCAGTTTGAGGAAATTAATTCTATGAAAATACATTTGGATTGATCTTGTAGACTGCAATTAGTAAAGACAGACTGAAATCTCTTTTGGAGGATTGTTGGAAACACTGAGGTCATGATACATTACTTTGAAACTGTATGATATTCAGTTACCACACAAACTTATATAATTATTTTAATACTATGAAAATACATTGTGTTCAGTGGCCCTTTTCACAAAAAATCTTATGACTACAATAAAAATTTGAAACCTGTATAATATTTTGTTTGATAAAGATATTCACCTTTTTCCTAAAATATTATTTGCAGTTGTAATCTAATGTAATAGAAATGTAAGATTTTTGTGACCTGCTACAGCTTAGATATTTGTTAGAGAATAGGAAAATTTATGTCTTAGTCATAAGACTTTTTGTGAAAAGGGCCACAGTATGCCACAATGGATCATGTAGACTGACAATTGCAGTAAAAAAAAAGCTGAAACCTCTTTTGGAGGATTGTTGGAAACACATATTAATAAAATGATAAATAGTTATTTTTAATAATTTCAATTTAATTAATTCATTTTTATTCATTTAAGGGATAGGGAACCATATTTTCTTTGATTGTCAGATTCTATCGAAGTCTTATACTGTACTATCCATGGATGCTATTTTTTCATTGCAGGCAAATGCATGAAACTATCATGCTAAAAGTAAATACAAAGCTGACCACTCTTAGATTTTTTTTTTACATCTTTAATGAAGCTAAAAAGCAGGCAACACTATTTTTGGCTCACCTCAACAAAGTTGAGATGAGCTTATGCTATACCGTCGGCGTCCCAGTTAAAGTTTTAGGAGCAAGTCCATTCCCAAGTAACTATAAGCCCTACCTGAACCAAACTTGTAAGGATGATGCCTTTAGAGATGGACACTACCACCTATGCTTCAAATGCTGGATCTGACCTAGATTTTCCAGATGAGTGACCAGGTTAAAGTTTTTGAAGCAGATCCATTCCCAAGAAATTAGAAGCCCTACCTTGACCAAACTTTCAGGGATGATGCATCTAGGTATGTACATTAACCAACCTGCTTCGGATACTGGATCCAACGTATGTCTTCCACATGAGTGAAGTTTAGCCATATTTTAACCAAATTAGCATGGATGATGTATCTAGGGATGGACACTTCCAGACTTGCTGTGGATTCTGAATCTGACCTACATTTTCCAGATGAGTGACAAGGGTAATTTTTTTTGGAGTAACTATATAATATCATGGCCTGTTATGATTAAACTTGCAGAGATGGTGCATCTAGGATGAAAATTTCCAGACTTGCTTTGGATGTTGGAACTGACCAAAATTTTCTTCATTAGTAAACAGTTCAAAAGTTTTTGAGCAGGTCTATTTCCAAGTAATTATAAGTCCTACTTAACCCAAACTTCCATGGATACTGATCTTGGGATGTACACTAACTAGAAAAAAAAATGTGAAATTTGCCTTACTTATAGATAACCTTCATCTAGGTGTGCTTCGTAATCTTTGTTTACATATGTTTTAATTACACCAGAATGGTGAAATGTATATTGTAGTTTCTAGTGTAATGAAATAATCTAACCTTGTCAGGAGTTCATCATGTTACGAAAATGCATTAATTCTCTAAAAATCTTCTTTACAATGAGCACTATCAGAACATAGCAATAACAAGCAAATTTTCTTTAAAAAGGGGTTCATACCCACACCAATGAATAATGGAAATTTTGGGAAGTCTAAGTTACCTCCATGAACAAGAAATGGATCCTGATTTTCATGTGTTCTTTTTCATCTGTAGATTCCTCAGGTAACCAGTGCTGCTTTGGTGGTGATGTATGAGAATGGAAACCCAGCTGACATCCACTACTTGGACTCTGTCAAGTGCCAGAGTTACTGGAGAAAATGGTTGGACAAGCTACACCAGTATTGGCTACTGAAAAGCAGAGAGGCATCATGATGGTGCCACCAAATCAGCAATAATAAAAAAAACGATTCATTGAATTTATGCAAAAAACTTTAAAAAAAAAATAAAAAAAATGATGGGTTAAAAACTACCAGTGCAGTGCAGCATTTGCTCACATGAGAGATGCTACTGATAGACACAAATTGTTCAAGACAGAAGAGGAAAATACACATGACATTCAATAATTAACAGTAATTTGATCTGAAGTAAATTTCAGGATGGGTAACTTGATCACATTAATCCTAACAATGGATTTGATAAATACCAGCAATGCTTTTGGATTCTTCAAAAGCAGACGAAGTGAATTAATGAAAAAAAAGGTTCTTTATTTAAAAAATAGAATTACACAATGTATAAATGTTGATTGAATGATAAAGAGAAAAAGATGTACCCCTATATCTATTTTTGATTAAAATATTCTATTTAAAGCAGTGGTACAAGAGTTGTCATATTTAAGAACCAAAAATTTGTCAACTGAATGCATGTATTTCAGTTTTTAGGTCACTTGAACCATGCTATCTGTTTTTAGCTCACCTGAGCTGAAAGCTCAAGTGAGATTTTCTGATCACCTGTTGTGTTCCAGCCGATGAGGACAAAATACCTGGTTATTTGATGTCAACACCAGTCTCTGGAAATGCATCAGAATCAAACATTACTCATCGCTGAAATGATCGTCGCTTTGGTAGACCAGATGAGGACACCAGTATCATAACAGCAGCAGAGAAGAACCCACAAACCCATATAAAAGCTGCAACATTTGATGGTGCGGGGTCCTGGTTAGATTATCGCTCCCATTTTGATACATGTGCCATGTTAAATAGGTGGACAGAACAAGAGAAAGGTCTTTATTTAGCAGTTTGCTTAAGAGGACAGGCTCAAGGTGTACTGGGGAATTTGCCTAACACACATAAGCATGACTATGTCTTGCTTGTTAATGCATTAGAGGAAAGATTTGCACCCTCGAATCAAAATTACTTGTATAGAACCCAACTGCGAGAACGCCAACAACGAGCAACGGAAACTTTACCAGAACTAGGACAGTCTATATGAAGACTCACAAATTTGGCATATCCTACGGCACCAAGGGATGTACAAGAAACACTAGCAAAAGAACAGTTTATCGATGCTCTCCTTGATTCTTATATGAGATTGAGAATGTATTCAATCTCGAAAGTCCAATGAAACGATACAAATACGGAGAAGTAGCGATAACAAGGTTTTTTGCACAAGGGGTGATAACTTTTAAAGGGGTTAAGCTTAGGGGAAAAGAACGAAATCTTTGAAATAGTTTTAGAACATATCAATAATGCTAAAACAGATAGTATATGTTGAAAGACAAAAGAGCTATACAAAGAGCTTAATTTCTCTTATTTGGAATGACCTTGACCTTTGACCTTGACATAAACTTCAAGGCCTAAGGTCAAAAAATATAATGCAGTTGGTTGCATGTCTCTACGAGTTATTGTTTTGAAAATTTTTAATTATTTGTAAACATTAAAATTTTTCAGGGACAATAACTCATAAAAGGGGTCAACAAATACTTTCCCAATGATAGACTGAAGAGAGTACTCAATTAGTTGAAGACATTGGTGAAGGTTTTGTTCCTCTGCGGTTTTTGGTTTCGAAGGAGTAGGGATAACAAGATTTCTAGCGAAAGGGGCAATAACTGCAAAAGGGGTCATAGGTTATATGCCTTGGATCAAATTTTTTCATAACTTTTAAAGACCTTTATGATGAACAAAAGATCTTTTCGATAAACTTCGAAACAAAAAAATCAGCGGAAGAAAACTAGTAGACTAATTGTTCACAGAACAATTGGAGGTCTTTCCACCTTTTTAAGGTAGTATGGGATACCTCCACGTTATGACGTATTTCCGTTTGAAGTATTGTTTTGATTTGCATGAGTGCTTATTATCGGGTCAAAATTTGTAGATACACCGTTGAAAAGAACACTCTGAAGCCTATTTCAATGCAAGTTCTCACAAGTCGGCATTTTAAGTAAAAACAGACAAAAAAATCGCAAGTATATAAATTTACTTATAATTGTACAATGGACATTTAAAAAAGCAAACCCCTGTAAAAGGTAGTTTCAACATTGCTGCTTTTGAACACTTTTAAGCAAAAGCTGTATTTCAATTGTTTGAGCAACTGTACAGCACCTTGTGTGCGGTGAGGCATGGATAAGTGTGATTACTTCACATTGTGTTGAATTATGACCAATCAATTATCACGTTAACCAGAGCTGGACTTTTTTGTTATTTAATTCAAGAAGTAACTGTTTGGTCACAAATCAGCTAGCTGTTGTATATAGTCCCAAAACGTTCAGATGAATGCAATTGCTCTGAACAAGACACGTCCTGGAAAGCGATTGTCCATGCATTGTTTTCAAACCGCTCAAAGTTGAAAACTACAAAGTGCAATTTTTTTATGGTTGGGAAAAAATGCTCATCATTTCTAAAATAGCACCCAGGTTTTTTCAACCCTTGGAAAATAAAGAAGGATAACTCTTCCGCTCGGATCTTTTAATTCAAAAAATTTTAAATGCATTTTATATTTTCCATTTATATATATATTTTCAATTTGTTTATTTCACTTTGCTAACATATTAAGATACATTCTTATTGTAGACTTTCATGAAATGTTATCCGTCTGTTTTCAAGAAATAAAGTTTTCCCAGTTTTTTACGCTTATTTTTTGTTGAAAATTAAAAAAATACTAAGACATATTTCTTGTCATTTTTGTTTTTATAAACACTTTATATTAGCAAACGCCTGCCTATAATATTAAGCTTATGAAAAAAGAATTATGCAAGAAAAAAATCGTTTTTGTATTTCTCATTAAAATAATAAAAAAATTATTAAAATTACACTTTAATATACTGAAAGATGGGGGTATTTCAAATCCTTCTAATTTGGGTACATAAATATGTAGGAGAAGTTTCGTTTGGTATCCCATACCACCTTAAGTGTTTTCATGTACGCATGTGAGTTAAGGCTAGGTAAAGGCGCTTCTATGCAAATGAGCTTATAAAAATGCATAAGAGATATATTTAAGAAATAAATAACAAGTTTAAAAACTTCAATGGGAATTGAAGTGGGTCGGTCACGTGATCAAATCTGATGAGAAGGCAAATAAATAACGAGTTTAAAAACTTCAATGGGAATTGAAGTGGGTCGGTCACGTGATCAAATCCTGTGAAGGCCAAAGGCCTTCTCAGAAGATTTGATCTCGTACCGACCCACTTCAATTCCCATTGAAGTTTTTAAACTTGTTATTTATTAGCTCACCTGAGCTGAAAGCTCAAGTGAGCTTTTCTGATCACATTTTGTCTGTAGTCCGTCTGTCTGTAAACTTTTCACATTTTCAACTTCTTCTCCAGAACCACTGAGCCAATTTCAACCAAACTTGCCACAAAGCATCCTTGGGTGAAGGGGATTCAAGTTTTTTCAAATGAAGGGCCACGCCCTCTTTCAAGGGGAGATAATTAAGAATTAGTGAAAAATGAATAGCATCTTTTAAAAATCTTCTTCTCAAGAACCACAGGGTCAGGAAAGATGAAACTCATATGGAAGCATCCCCAGGTAGTGTAGATTCAAGTTTGTTCAAATCATGACTCCCGGGGGTAGGGTAGGGCCACAATGGAGGATCAAAGTTTTACATAGAAATATATAGGAAAAATCTTAAAAAATCTTCTTCTCAAGAACAGTAAAGCCATGAAGAGTCATATTTATATGGAAGCATCCTCAGGTAGTGTAGATTCAAGTTTGTTCAAATGATGACCCCCGGGAGTAGGGCGGGGCCACAATGGAGGATCAAAGTTTTACATAGAAATATATAGGAAAAATCTTTTAAAATCTTCTCAAGAACAGTAAAGCCATGAAGAGTCATATTTATATGGAAGCATCCTCAGGTAGTGTAGATTCAAGTTTGTTCAAATGATGACCCCCGGGGGTAGGGCGGGGCCACAATGGAGGATCAAAGTTTTACATAGAAATATATAGGAAAAATCTTTAAAAATCTTCTTTTCAAGAACAGTAAAGCCATGAAGAGTCATATTTATATGGAAGCGTCCTCAGGTAGTGTAGATTCAAATGATGACCCCCGGGGGTAGGGCGTGGCCACAATGGAGGATCAAAGTTTTACATAGAAATATATAGGAAAAATCTTCTTCTCAAGAACAGCAAAGCCATGAGGAGTCAAATTTATATGGAAGCATCCTCAGGTAGTGTAGATTCAATTTTGTTCAAATGATGACCGCCGGGGGTAGGGTGGGGCCCAATGGGGGATCGAAAGTTTTACATAAGAACATAAAGGAAAAAATTTACTTCTCAAGAACAGAAAAGATATGTTAGTCTTATTGATATGGAGGCATCCTCAGGTAATGTAGATTCAAGTTTGTTCAAATGATGACCTCTGAGATAGGGAGAAGCTACAATGGAGGATCAAATTTTTACAAAGAAAGAAATGGAAAAATTCGTTTAAAATCTTCTCAAATTCATTTGTTATATTGACATGGAAGCATCATCAGGTAGTTTAAAATTCAAGCCCCCCCTTCCCCCCCCCCCCCCCGTTCATTACTGAACTGATTTGTGCCTTAGTCTAGCCAATGTGCTCAGGTGAGCGATGTGGTCCATGGGCCTCTTGTTACTTATATATACATTTGAGACGGACAATCGAATGTAATCGAATATAAATATTGCACTAACTGTACGTCGTAGATTTTGACAAATTACGCTAGGTGTAAATCGGCTTGAAAAGCGGTTACGCTTCAAATTCATCTGGCAAAGGATTCTGTTTTGAAGGGAATATTCTATGAAAGGCTACTTGTGATCAATTATAGTGAGCATATTGGTGTCTGGGAATTTTTGTATTCATGAGAACCCATATTCGATGTAAAAAAAAAAAAACACACACACAAGAAACACGTCCGATGTTTGATAATAAAAAGTTGGAGGAATTTCGGTCGGAAAGGGATGGATGGAGACACTTGTCCGGACCAGATAACTTCAAATCAAGTATAAAATTTGATCAAAAACATAAAATCTACGATTTCAGTCAGGCATATTTATTAATTTATGATGTTGACATGGAGACACTGGCGACAGCTTACATCGTTAAGACAACGTCACAACGATCTCGATGATGGAGGTGTGCCTACCGAACTTCCAAAGTGCAGTGTTTGTCAGCTGTTTGTGGCGTGATTGCATTACATTGATGTTTTTCAACAGATTTTCAAATTTATTGTGAGTAAAGCTTAATGAAAAAAAAAAATTATAGCATTCAGAGGTCTGCGAGAAAAATAAGGGTAAAAGTTGAGACTATGCAGCTCAGACATGAAACTTATAACACGTAGTTTTCTAATCTGTATGTACAATCGATCAAGAACTGTATTAAATACTCGTTTACATTGTAAATAAAATGATTATTATTT